TTTCCGTGGGAGTCGCATGAAACAAAACAATTCCTGCGAGACATCTCATCGACTGCCTGTATAGTCAATTTATTTGCATTTCCCTCTTTGAGGAATCATCCGAGCAGAACTTCCAAAGTGAGGTGCTGTCATTCATCGCTATGGCCTGTGTTCGTTTGAAGTTTGAATGATGTTATTATCTGCTTTGTGTTGAATGATTCATACCTATACACATATATATATATACATGCATTTGATTTTGAATTTATATATGCATATGTTTTTTGCGCATTGTCGCATGGTTCATGGTGCAAACTGCTTTGTGGTTTCAAGACGTTTCAACCCTCCGATCAACGATAGCAGCAAATGGGCCCATATCTAGAGGTCTGAGTTATTAGAAACATAGGCCATCAACTTAAATTATCAGAAAATATACCCCCTGGTAAACTAACATAAACATAACTATGGAAAATCACAATATTTAATGGGAAAATTCACTATAAATGGCCATTTTCAATAGCAAACTGTTAATATTACCAGAGGGTACTCAACAGTACCTTGGTATTTGCTGGTCAAATTCCTTCAATGGTTTGTTGATCCAATCCCCTTCCGGAAAGGCATCATGCCTGAGCTCATTGATCCCCTTTGTGGCTGGAAAAATCAGACTCTTGGGGATTAACCATTAATGATGTTAATGATGTTAATGATGTTAATGATTTTAATGGTTATGTTAATGGGGTTAATGATGTTAATGATGTTAATGATGTTAATGATGTTAATGATGTTAATGATGTTAATGATGTTAATGATTCATGATGTTAATGATGTTAATGATTCATGATGTTAATGATGTTAATGATGTTAATGATGTTAATGTTTTTGTTAATGTTTTTGTTAATGTTTTTGTTAATGTTTTGTTAATGATGTTACTGGTTATCTTAATGATGTTAATGGTTATGTTAGTGATGTTTCAATGGTTGATTTAGATTCTAATTGCTTCAAACATCATTAACGTAACCATTGTTTCTGAAAAAAAAACATGTTTATAATTTATACATATTGGTTGATGAAATCAACATGTTTTTCAAATTCCACATTTAGTATTCAAAACACTTAAATAGTTGTTGGCACATTCCTGTTTCTATTATTGACGCGATCTGAAGAAAGGTGCACCTTGTCATGTTTCCTCTATCAAATTTGCATTTTGTGGAACAAATTCATGCATTACATACTGAAAAAATCATGAATGAATTTGTCCACAATCAATACTGATCAAGCAAATCCAGTTGATCAGTCAATAGCTGTCAATATTCCTGATGTGCTGCTTAAGATGAGCGTTTCCCAGCTGATTGAGTCAGGTTGGCTTCAGTACGGCTAGCGCCGTTGTGATGCAGCCCTTGACGCTGGATGAACATGGAAGGATGTCATACAGGTTTGAACATCGGGTACCCCAAGAAATTGATGGGCAAATCACGGTTCACCCTAAAGTGGTAGATTTGGAGTATACCCTTTTGATTTAGGCAAAGCACTCAATTTTTGGCATGGAATTCATGGAATACACACCATCCATATGTGGGATGTCATAGTTTGCAATGGGTCGGGTCAAAGTTACGTGCTCTAAATTGGACGGTTTTATGTGCTGAACGTGACTTGTCCATTTGCGAAACCCATATTTTGTGATGGCTTGAGGATTTTTGATTCAATCAAGAAATCAATGAATGTTTACTGATTTAAACTGTAAGAGTTTCGTGAGTTTCTGGATGGGTAATGACAGATACATTGATCTTTGGCCGCTTGACGCAGGAATATGTCATACCCATCTGAGAAAATATTGCCAGCGTATCAAAGATTACCAGTCTTCTAAAGAATCCAATCGAGTATTACCATCTTTGTTTACCAGTATTGCGAACTTAGTTCTGACCTGTAGCTTAGTGCGTTGGAGAGCCATTCCCCCCAATTTCCTGCAAAGAAAAACTGCGTTGTTCCAGGCCGCAGGAATCACCACTTGTTGGTACCCCAATTCTGACCTTTAATGATCGAACTGTGCGTTTATCTAAAGATACTGTACATATACGTTTAATTTTGCATTTTATACATATATATATAGATATTTAATTATAATATTATATATATATAATCATAAATTTACTGTATAGCTTAATTATATTTAATTGTATATAATGTTGGTTGTTGATTAGTGTAGGGCCCCCCAAACAATTGGAGGGTCATGAAAAACTTCGATTTTTCGGGTACTTGGTTTGGGGAACCAAGGATCATGATGTCACGCAAAGAGTTCAAAACATATTATGACCTGAAAGGAATCTAACGATATGTAACGTAAGGATTTCAACTCATATCAATGTACTTTCAACTCATTGTTCCTTTCTAACCTAAAATAAATGTATACTATTCAAACATGTTAGTCATAGTTTAAAACATATCATTATTTTAAACATTTGTTGTTCCAACGACTCAGCTCAGCTAAGCTCCCCAAGGCAGGAATTCCATCGATTAAACACTTAACCCCTGCCGTCAACGATTTTCTTTGGAATGAACAGTGGGATTTACCTTGTAATAGACAAGAAGTGTTGCAGCTCACCAAAAATGTTGATTTGATTTGATTGCTGGATATATATAAATATTTTTATATATGCATATATACACATATATGTATATGATAGATTTGTTCGTACGTATTTAGATGTGTATTTATCATATCGTATTCATTGAAACACACCTAATAGTATTTACATGTATGCACACAATTGGCACACATCCATAAATATCATGCATCCATAAATATCATACATATATGATACATATATCATGCATGCATATATCTTACATATATTTCACGTCATATCACGTGTATGGGATGAATACATATATATATATATATAACACATATCTACATCTTTTTTATGTGTATATATATATATATTTGTTGAATATGTACAGCATTTTGTTGAAACATGTATGTATGTTTAAAAACGTATTTATACATATTTCCCAATGTGCAGATTTTGGCTCCCCATACTGCGACATATTCATGGGATGCCGAGGATGTGCTACCGCCATCCCAATGGGATGCGAAGCTTGCTGAAGTGTCTGGGTAGTAACGGGCAGTTTCAAAATGCTTTATGTAATTCTGAAGGGTTTACATACGAAGTCACTCCATGCTTCTGAGAACGTCCAAATTTGTCCACGAAAAATGATCGTTCGTCAACGAGCGTATTTGCACAGACGTTTAACACACGTGATTTCACATGATTTCACCACCAGAACATTAAACTGAAGGGCAGGTGACCTGGTCCCACTTGACAACTGGTCATTGGCGGGTTCCGAGCTGGGGTTCCTTTGGGTTCCAGGAAACCAATGCATTTATTCACATATATACACATGTGTATATATATATATATATATTATGTAACAACCAGCACAAAGATAGATTCAAGGAAAAATCCCCAAGGAAGTAGATCACTTTGCCATTTTTGTTGGGGTTCACTAAACAGCGTATGAATATATGTGCATGTACACATTTTTTTAAGCAAAAACCATACATATGAACACATCATTGCCTGGATCCACTGCTAATGATGGTTGACTGTGTCCTACATAGATACTTGGAGGAACCATCAAATTGTTTGCCAATACCACCAGGAACATGATAAATTTATTGTTGTGTTTGATTGTTCTTGTTAAACAAATATAAACAATTGACACTGCTGAAATTACATACTTCATTAGGGGGGTTGACATCATTTATCCAGATTGTTTGCAGGGTATTCCAGCTGCCGTCCCGAATGAAAAACAAATCACTTGACTCCTATCCACCTGTTGCCGGCCTCAACTGAATTGTTTGCAAATCGGGAAAACCAAATAATTTACCATCGGTTGGGAAAACATTATCCCATTATTTTGTTGTATATCACATATACTATGTGCAATATTTATGTATATATATATATTATATACACATATCCCAGTGATCTAGAGTATGATTCAATGATCTACTGTATCTAATGACATTTCTAGATGTCAGCCCTGGGGCGCTATTTCAAAACAGCTTTAGAAAGGGCATTTTCCAACAAACCCTAGAGCTAGTCCGAGAAATCCTGTTGGGCATTTCCAACAGACCTTGGGGTTATCATCAATCAACCCACAGCATTGCGGTTTGTCCGCATGCAACAGCAGTTGTTCCAACACCGTCCATCAAATGCACTTTTTCCAACAAACATGCTCCCCTTTCCGACAAACATAGTCCATTCCGACAATGTATTAAAATTTTGGGAGCATTGGACATGTAGCCAAATTTTGGATACAAAACTATTGTTTGATCTATTTTTAGACAAGGATTAGCAGGGTATAATATGTATATATATATATATAGATATGTATATATGTACTTGTATGGATAAACTGCAATGACCTCACTGCAACGTTACTAGAATGATGGCTTTCAAGCATTAACTATGTCAAGTATTTTGTTTCATCATTTTCCTATGCATAGATACTATCGATATATATATATATACATACATACATACATACATACATACATACATACATACATTGTACCCTCTGGTAAAGTAACGTAACTATGGCAAATCACCATTGTTAATGGGAAAATTCACTATAAATGGTGATTTTCCACAGTTATTTTAAATTACCAGAGGGTATTTGTGTTGCCCTTGGAGCCTGCTTCGATGGATTCGCCCAGTTTACACGATCTTCGCCGGTGATTTCCCGCTGGTTTCAAACTGCCAAGTCGTGTATTGAATCCAGGGCTGAAGAATATGGAGGTTTCTCAATGAAATATCATGAAAGACATAGATTCTATTTCCCCACCATGGTTTATATCCAATAAAAATGAAGGTTTCCTAAAATAGGGGTAGCCCTAAATCATTCCATTTCAATAGGCTTTTCCATGATCAATCAACCAGCTACTTGGGTACCCCCATTCATGGAAACCTCCAAGTTGAGGGCCGGCCACTCGACCTGGACCCAGGTACCCCAATGTCATGTGTGGCGAGAGCGAACAAGGAGCACTTCTGGCAGTTGGCATGGTTCGCTCCTTAGGAGCGTGTTGGACGCTGTGATTTCTTGCTTTCAGATGGTTTGGACAGGACAATTTAAGGTACATTCCCTGAAATTTGGGTACAATGGCCATCAATGTGATAAACCCAATGCCATAAACCAACTTAAACCAGCCTTAAAAAAAAACACAATTTTTCTGGGTGGTTTGTTCCCATCCCCAAATGGTAGGTTTATGGCATTGGGTGTGAATCCCACATTATATAATATAATCAATAATGATAATCCAATAATATTTCCATTATACCACCATTATTGATGGGATAACTCACCATTACTGGCATTTGGCTTTACCACATTAAAAAAACATGTTCATGACAATGATTAAGCATGAATCATCATCGTTAAGCATATACCATGATTTACCTTCTGGTAATGTAACATAACTATGGAAAATCACCATCATCACCATAGAAATTTCCTGAATTTTCCCATTTTCATAGCATGGTGTGGATCTTTCCAGTTCGTTATGCTAGCCCGTTTACCACAGGGGACACCATGATTTACCTGGCAAATCACCATGATTTTTACTGCCTAAGAGCCAGGTCACAGGATCCCTTTTCATCGTGGCGTTTTATTCGGGATGTGTCGTCGCCGTGCCCCGGTGGTTCGCCCCCGGCATGCGGCATGGCGGGGGGAGACCAGGGCAGGGCAAAACGAAGCTGGGATTTTTTGAATTTCACGATGTCACAGCCTCGAAATTTCTGGGATTTCAAGAGTAAGTTGGAATCAAATATACCCATATGCGAACCATGGTGCTGGTATATTTACCTACATTTGCCCTAATCACCCAGTTTTGTAGGTAAATATACCAGCACCATGGAGCATATGGGATAATCAAATGACCTGTGGATGTGTTGGAGGATTTTTTTGTCATGTCCACCCCATGTTCAAAGACCTCCTGAAATGATCAATGGTGATTTTGCAGCAACACAACGCCGTGGGTTGTCACCACAGCTATTCAACCACAGTTGGGGCATGACCCAAATATGATAAATATGCGGACCCATCTGAAATTGTCGTGGAAAAACCCTAAGTTGAGATCATTGTTGATTGCATTGAAATTGTCATTGGTGTGTGTATATATAGTATTTATAATATATTATATTATTTATGATATATAATATATAATGTATACAAATATATACATCATAATATATATATATATACATATATTAAAATATTAATATATATATATATACACAGCAAAGGGACCCGCATGATGAACTTTGTCCTAGATGGGCAAGTTGTACGTACTTTTGCTGCGGGAGACCAGCAGACCTGGTCATCCCAGCCGTGATGGAATAAGATGTGGATGTGAGGGTAGCTAGAACCATACCATTAACCATATATTATCATATTATCATATATTATCTGGTACATAAAACCTAAACCCTTAAACTTTACCTAGTATAAGTACCCAGCTTTGTTTCACGTGCAGTTATTTGAAGATCCAGCTGATCGCCAGAGACGTAGGATTCGCCACTAAAGTTTGTCACGATTTCCACGAGAGATTACCAGGATCTCCTGGCATTCCCCACCAAAAGGAGTCTGACAAACCGTTTGAGGATGCGAAGTGAACTTCGGAAAACTCGCACAGATGTCATCAGATGTCCAGATTTGTGGGACTGAATTGATGACCCAACCCTATATGAGCAGTTTTAAGAGACCCACTTGCTTGATGATTTTAGAGGGGTAACACTACCCAAATCTACCCAATATATTTAGTATTATCATAATCCACTACAGGTATCCCATAACCATCCATAACCTAACCAAGCATACAATATTTTTTCCAGGTTTCTGACACCGCCCATATTACGACGGAACAACCAACTAGAAAGTAAAAGAGTTTGGCCCTGGAGTTAGGTGTGCTTGGGGCATCATTCCTGGAAGGTTAATGGCTGGCCATGATATGGCTCAAAACACTATGATTGAAAAAACATTGGGGACCGGGGACTGACTGTTTTGTTCTGTTTTTTAGTAGTCCATGGTAGAAAAGACACAACCATACTATGACTCAAAGTCAGCCGAGCGATGCTGCGATTTGCTCAGGCTCTGAAGATTCCATCGTGGAGCTTCCAGCGGAAGAATGACTTAGTCATGTGCTTCCGGTTCCCAGAAATGCAATGGGATGTCATGGGTGCATCCGTTATTTAAGTTAAACTCGATAATTATATATATAAACATACATTATATTACATTACATTCTATTATACTATATTATTTATATATACATATGACCATTTGCCAAAAATAGTTGACAGAAGTTTTGTACTACTTGTTGATAATTAATGTGAGTCTAGTGGTTTTTCCTCTTTGTCATGAGGTGGCACGCAACTAAATTCACCAATTCTGCAAGGCAGTGCTAGCAAACCTGCTAGGTTTGCGCTAGTTATTTTAACATCCATGTTCAAAGGTTTTTGTATGTGTTGCCGACTGCTTGGTATTTCAACATGAAGACAAAAATAAGAAATAACACTTAGCGCCCCTTGAACATAAGGACGTTTTAGTGAATTTCTGTGCTACTCAACCATGTTCCTATGTTTTTAAGTTTATCATTCAATTCTGCGAAGTTATACATAAAATTACCCGCTAGATCCCCGCTAGCAATGCGCTAGCAAAAGTTGCAAAAAGCGGCTTTGGCTGACCCGTGACCCAGTCAGTTTATCCTTTCTGTTTGACAAAAGCGACAGTGCCAGCAAAGGCAACGACAAGCCTTTCAGCAGATGAACAATTCTTGAATTTCCACAACTAATAATTAGCAGCGGCACCCACTCCATATAGATGTGCGTTAGCATTTCCTGCAGGTTTTGGTTTCGGTTTCAAACATAAAAGATAAAATGCAGGGTTTCAGACTATTTAGATAAGTCATATTTTTCAAAATTCAAATATGAAGCGGCATGCATGGCATTACAATTTAACAACCAAACCATACAAAGACATTTTGACAAACTGTCATATGTATATTTATTTATTATTTATTTGTTTATTTATTCAGGAGTTAGCCCCTGGGGCAGAAAAACGGATGAAAATCGGTTAGATTCCCATGAGATGACTTTCAGATGTGCTGGTCGAACAATGGGAGGCTTGAAGGTGAGAAGGTGATCTAAATCCAATCGTTGTGTCATTTTGATGATTTTGATAATTTTGATGATTTTGACATTTTTTCTGAGATGATCATATGTGATCTCCAATTGACAAATATCTGTAACTTGAGAATGTGTTTTTTGTTTTTTTTCGATGATTTTGGATGGCTTGTAGCCACCAAGAATGGGATGATGATCCAACCAGGTTCTTGACCTCCAACTTCAGATTGAATCGCTGGTGGTTTCTTGGCATCAACGGCTCAAAAAGGCTTGAGGAACAGCCAGGAACAGATGAATTCTGCAAGGAACAGGCACACATGCACACATCTTTCATTTGGTTGAGACCTGGACCAAGAGTCCCACAATCAGACAGCAATTATGTGTATACGTATACATAGATATGCACAAAACCTCTTGCGAACATGCCCATTGAACTGGTTGATACACCTCAAATAGCTCTCTGTTTCCAACGGGTTTGGCATTGCATAGTTGTCCACTTTTGGTCTCTGATCGTGGCCAAAAGGGCATGATTCCAGGTTAAGGATTGATGTCAACAGGAGATTTTATCAAACCTGTTCGATGAATTAGGGGGTTGACAGGTAGAAAGAGTTCCAGTAATTGGGGGTTGATAATTCAAACATCCCGAACACCATTAACATTGAAGGCTTGATCTGTTTGGTTGCTTGCAAAAATTGTTTCAAAGTTGCTACAACCATGGTGCCCAATGATCTCAACAGCCCTCAGGCCCAGGCCTTCCAGAAGTTTTAATTATGGGAACATGATGGTTTCCCACAAACCTATCGAATTTTATTGGTTTCCCACAACTTCCGGACAAACCAAAATCATCCAAAATCTGTTTCATGTTGACTCAACCAAAGCCAACAAAAACATGTAAACCATGATTCCGGTGGGGAACTCATCATCCAGACCCATTTCAAGTGTGGTTTTTCTGGCTAAAGCGATCCAACATGTCACAACGAAATTGGTGTTTCCATAAATGGGGGTACCCCCAAATGGATGGTTTACAATCCTATAAAGATGGATGATCTAAGGGTACCTCCATTTCAGGAAACCTCCACATGACTTTAGACGGTAAATTCTAAGCATGTCTAAAGCATCCTGAGATATTCCTTCCCCCCCCCACTGATACCCCGAGTTTGCAGCAACCCAGCAACCAAAGTGGGAGACTTAGGGCAGCCATATTGACCAGGTTCGACCAATCCATTGAATCCCCAATGTTTCCATGTTGGGGTCTATAAACCATCAACTAATATGGCTGGTTTATGACATTGCTTTGCGGACTTTACGGACATGTTTTTCTTCCAAATCGGACGATGATTTCAATTGATGTTCATACTTGTCAAAGAATCACTCACACACCGAACTGTCTTAGTTTGTTTATATATAATTTCCTCAGGTATGAGTTATTTTGTTCCCATATTTGTAACATAGATATATCCACCATAAATCTTAGCCTAGGAACATGAACCCATCGTCGACCTATCGTTAGACGAGCCTGTTTGTCGCTGCCACCTTCAAGATCAATTCATGATATGATGGTGTTTAATCGAACTGGTGTCAATGCTTGATTATATATATATATATATACCTGAATCATCCGGTGGTGCCTTCTTTTAGCCTCTAATGCTAGAGGCAGAAATTGTAGCCTCTGATTTTGAAAATCGCCTCTGCCAACCAAGTGGTTTCAATGGCTTCATGAAACATCATTCATCGCCAAGATTTATATGTGGGTTTTCCATAAATAATAGGAACTTTCAATGTGAAAAATCAAATAGCCTTTACCATCCTTTACCACTGTTTGATGATTACCCACTTTGGCAGCTCAATGGTGGTTGATGGTTCTTTGTTAAATGTCCTGGGATCATACTTGGATATGTGAATCCCTTTAAGATGGGGTCCATTCATCCTGGTCCCCTCGCAGAGCCATTGAAGCTGGAGGCAGGGTGGCCATGGACCCTGAATGCTGGCTATCCATATCCTAATGTACGTGAAAGTTATGGAAAACTAAGAAACGCCTCTACCATTCAGGAAATGCCTCTGATTTTCCAAAGGCGCCTTTTGCCAAAGAGGTCAAAATTTGACCCCCTTAGGAAGATCTAGGTATATATATATATATATACTAATCCCCTTCCTCGATTTTTGAGGAAACCTTTAGAAACCTTGGTTTCATACTGGATCTGTTCCAAATATGGGGTCCCCATGTGGATCATGTAGGGACTTCGGGGAAGAAATGACACAAAAAAAGTCTAACGAACTTCAATGGATTGGTTTGATGGACAATTTCTAGGAAACCACGGCTTTTAGCTCCACATACCACGGGCATTTCCAGGGCTGAAGCCCTCAGGGGGTCAACTCCGACGTTGAGTCGCCGAGGTTTGGCTTGCTGGTGATGGCGCGAGGATTTGGTGCGCCATGGGAAGTTCACCATGAACATATTATTTATAATGTCAATGTTGTAAAAATATAATTTAATAATATTTATTATATATATATAATATATACATTAATATAAATATGATATAATATACATGTGATCATATATATATATATATATATACACAGTTCACGTGTATCCCAATATAAATGTTGTATATTAGTATATATCCTTTGGACTCCGTTTTGGGGTTTGTCTCAGTAAGCGGTTAACCCACGCATCTTGACTTTGTTTATAAGGTTGATCTCAAAGCGTTCCATGTATTAAAGATCTCACACATATCTACAAATTTGTCTTGAACCATGGTGGTTCCGATTCAAAGTCTGGTTACCTCTAAGGGCGGTACTGTACCTGAGCCAGTTCCCAATGATTATACAGGTAGCTAGACGCTGTGGGTATAGTATACAGAGATGAATCATATTCTGTACTCTAAACTTCCGGAAGGCGTTTGAACCCTCAAAACCATTCAAAACCTACCAACTTAAGTCTCTGAGAGGTGCTAACAGAAGTCTAGGCTCCATTGGCCTTTCATTTTGTTGTGTCACCAAGCGGAAAAAACGGGGTCTCACGGCATGAAACAAAGCTGGGGCGAAAAACCATCCCGTCATCGTGATTCCCATCCCTCAGCACCAGCCATTTCCTCTGGTGCTGGTCAGATCATGTCAGATCCTTTGCCCAATCCCTCAAGGAGAGAAGATGGACATGTGAAGGGATGCAATTGATATTAACCAGATATATAGATATATACTAAGAACCTAAACCTCAAGGACTATCCCTGGCCATTTTGATGTTTGACATTGCCATCAACGCACAAAGATGTGAACCATGTGTCTCCATATTTGGCTTGGGTTTTCTGGATCCAATTGCGCCCAAAATTTGGTGGAATATTTTTTTGAATGTGTTAGCTAACTCCAAGTTGTTGACTGTTATAGAGGAGTTTCAAAGTTTGGCTTGGAATTTCATGAGAACCAAACAAGATCATATTGGGAAGTTACCTATACTAATTGCGGAGATGTTCACCGGAAATGATGTGTTACTAACCATCATTTTTCCAGGGATGCTGATGATTACTCCCATTGGTTGTTACTAAAAGTTACCACATTTGTTTGAGGGTGAAAAGCCCATTTGGTTCAAAGTTTCCACCTGTCACATCACTGTAGATGATGGTTAGTAAGGGAAACTATCCCGACATGTGCATATTTTCAGGTTGGTGAATTAGTGTAATCTCTATATATATATATATCTCTCTCTCTCTCTCTCGCTGATATTGCGACATTCATTAAATTCACATATTTTATGAGTAATTGTATCAACATATCTATTCAATATACCATCCCCTAGCTAACCCTGCCAAAATCGAGGGTTGGGGTTTCGTGTCCCACTGGTTTAATCCCCTCTGTAGGTTAAATCAGTTGGTTGGTGGTTTGGAACATGGCTTTTATGACTTTCCATCTATTGGGAATAATAATCCCAACTGACGAACTCATATTTTTCGGAGGGGTTGATACCACCAACCAGTAATCAACTTATTATAAATCACTTTGAATCCCGATGGTTTTGCTTATTAAACACATTTTTTTTGGTGAAACAGATCAAACACAGTTCCAGGTTTTGGCCTGATCATCGTGATCGCCACCGACACTCCAGCGGCACAGACCAGCCTGGCCACACTAATCCTGGTGTTCCTCGGCAGGTCATTGTTGGAATGCCCAATTGGACATGCCCAATTTCCATCCTTGGAGCTTGTTGGAATGATTTTTCTATTTAGTAATATTTAGTAATATTTAGTACAATCAAAATGGAAACTGGTTGGCCTTGAGACAGCTTTAGGATGTTTTAGGTACTGTTTATGGTCACTTTTTGGCCAGTCACGCAAGGGATGACTTTTTAAAAAAGGGATCCCCCAAGGGAACAGATGCAATCCGCGACCGGGTCACCAGCCTGGATTGCCATGTTTTGTGCCACTTACCCGGCAATTTAATGCAATTTAATGTATAGCCATGCAAAATGAAAGATTTGTAGATGATTACCTGAAAAAAAACATAAAAAAAATGAGTTTCCGCTCTTACGTGGAAAATTGCCCTTTGGGTAAATCGAAATCTCTCAGAATTCGGTGTTCCGGTCAATGAATGACTTAATTATAATTATATTTTGGCCAGATCGGACAATTGAGAATCAAAATCAACTAACATGTTTTCTATAACACCAGTAGAATAATTCATAATTTACCGGAGAATTCTTGTACAATCTTGAAAGTATTGCAAATTATTTCAAGTGAGTCTTTTCCATTAGCAAGCACATAGTTAGGCAGTTTCAAGAATCCAATTTGGTTGATGGGTTTTTCGGGGTTATTCTGCCCTTTATGTGTCCGGGGCTGTGTCATCTATTTCAATACTCCACGATGTGGAATCCGGATGAACACAACAATTTTAAACTGGTGTTTTTTGCAGTAGAGTCTAATTTATTTTTGAATATCACATTGAATAGTGTATGTCCATTATTTTCCAAATACTCAATATTTTTTTTGGTGGATGTCCGCATGTCGTTTTTAGTTTCATCAGATCATCCTACAATGTGGGGCCTGCAAACGATAGCTAAGCTGGTTTATAGCTTTATAACTCCAATAGCTATGGTGTGTATCATACCTATATATATATATATATGTAGCTAGTATGTACAGTATATAGTAGTCTGTTTGGTGGTTTGGAACATTTTTTCCATCATATATGGGATAATCATCCCAACTGACTAATATTTTTCAGAGGGGTTGAAACCACCAACCAGTAGTCATGGGAGCCTTATCAACCAACCAGCACTTCGCCCAACAAATCCCTCCAAGGGTCTATGGTTTCCTTCAAGCCGTGATGTGGCCCTGGAAAGCCCAGCTGATCAACGTGGCGGTGGGGGGCCCCAGTCGAGTGGCCGCCACAGCCATTCGCCACGGGGTTCCATAAATGGGGGATCCCCAATAGCTGGATGTGGATGGTTTTCATGGAACATCCCATCTATAAATGGATGATTTAGTGTTACCCCCATTTCAGGAAACCTCCATATTTCAGTATATCTCAGTAATGTGGGAAAACCAATGCGATAAATCGGCCATGACTGGGAATGGTAAACATACCATCTATAAAAATGGTGATGACTTGGGTGACTGGGGGATGGTTTATGGCATTGTTTTACCAACATTATACTATATAGTTGGTTGACAGGTTTCCCTATGAATCTGTTCAAAATCGCCAATAGCCCAAGTAGTATATTATATATACATAGCTCCCTATAGTGACCAATCAACAATGGTATTTTTAATGGCTCAAATGATTTGGGTGCGAAAAGAGGTGATGCCCAAAACAGCAATGGTGACAGAGGACATGATGATTGACCAGTAGATTTTACGGCAATTGAGGGTCGTATTCGGCAGGTCCTGCAGGTTTTGCAGTGTTTTGCTCAGGATCCCATGGTAAAAGTGTAGTGCAGAATGCAATCAACAAAGTCTTGGGTTCTTGATAGAGTATCCGAAGGGGTTTTCCGACCACTGTGCCGCTTTCGTTGGTTTTTTTGGGTTGGACCCCAGCTTTGCTGTACGTCGTTGTCTCGGTAGATGGGCTCCACATTTGATTCTCATCCCCAACGAGGATGAGTGTAGCATGGTGAACATGACAACTTGACATATACATATTATGATATCACCCTTCTGAAGCATCACTATAGTGACATTAACTTTTTATATGTAGGCTGATATCTTCAAATATGCATATCATTATGACCATATTATTAACATATGTTCATATTGAAGAACTGTTTAACATTATTAATGATTGCAACCATAACCCATATGAAGATATGAAATCTTGGGCGAAGTTCCACTCGGGACCTGCGCCTCCATGTCCGTGGTGATTCACACTTAAGATCTAATTGAGGCACTTAAGGTAACACCTGTAACACCACAATTAATTCTGGTATATTTGAGGCAATTATATGAGAACACATGTAACATCAAAATTTAGTATGGTATATGACTATATGACTATGGTGATGTTTAACCTTAACTTAACCTCAATGGCCCTAATTATGGCAAAGTTTAACCAAAACAAAATAGGTCTCGTTAACCTGTGTTAACTGTGCTCGTATTTTTTCCCAGTTCGATATGGCACTCAACGGCAGGATGTGCTCTTGAGCTCCCTGATGCTGTTGTTGGTGGGCCGCACCAAGATGAAGGAAGTCGTGGTGGCCAGCAATCACAACGTGCCGAGTTTATGAATTCTGGGAAAGGAAAAAGCTGGGAAGCCACGTTTTTTGCCCTGTAAGGTGAGGGTCTCTAGATTTTATCAGAGTTGCTTCCTCCTTCTCCTCCGGCAGTCTTAACCTCAGCCAGATGCCAGAGAGAATGTCAGAATCGATGCCAGAAAGAATGTCAGAATCGATGCCAGAAAGTATGTCAGAATAGATGCGAAAATCAATATGCCGTATATACTTCCAGATGGTATATCAGAAATTATGTCAGAATAGCGTTTCAAGAAAGTATTTGTTCATAAAGATCAGAAAGGTGATATTTTTAGATGCGTCTATATGTCTTTTGCAAGGCATGATTGATGGAAATAGAGGTAAAAAAAGTTGCCGGCAAATGTTCGCAATGCATAATTTGGGGAGACGTTGTTTTTGATCCACGATGAAAAAACCTTATGTTCTCCTCAAAAGCTTATTCTAATGATTTTTAAACTTGAAAAAATGGAAATTAAAAAAAGGAAACAAATGTAACATCAAAAAGCAAAACTTCAAAACGGAAAAAACCGGAAGCAAAACAAATAGGGAAAAAAAGGAACAAAAAGGGAACAACACATGGAAAAAATGGACTTGTCCATTTGCATTTATTTTGCTTTTTAGATTTGCTTTTATGTTTTGCTTTTATTGCCCATTTTGTTTTGCTTTTTTCCCGGTAAAAAACAAACTAAATGCGAAATAAAAGCCAAAGAAAACAAATCACGAAAGCAAAAAACATGCAAATGGACAAGTCCATTGGTTCCCCATTTTTTCCCTTTTTGACTTTCCTTTTTTTTTCCCTCTTTTTCCCCCTTCGATTTTTGCTTTTGTGTTTTTTGGATTTTGCTGATTTGGTTTTTCCATTGTTTTTGCAATTGTCTTGTTTTTTTCAAGTTTGTTGATTCTTAGAATAAGCTGTGGTCTGGTGAACATTAACAAAAACCATGATTGAATAATGACATGCGAAGGTCACGGGGCTTTGTGGGTGCCAATCAGGATGTAAATATAGGGACGTGCTGAGTTTTGCATGTTCAACTCTCCTGCAAAAGAGTCGGCCCATTCGTTATGCTTCTTGGTCACCCCAAACATTAGAATATGTGTCAGATAAAATGTCAGGATAGATGTCAGACGCATGTTGTTAGATTGTTACATTGAATGCCAGAAAACATTGCAGATTGAATGTCAGAATATCTGTCAGAACATATGTCAGATAAAATGCCAGAACATATGTCAGACATGTCCTTGTTTTATGCATATCTATGCCAGATATAATGCCACAGTTTTTGCCAGATAGAATGTCAGAAAACCTGTCAGATTTTTTGCAAGATAGAGTGCCGGATTTTGTGCCAGATAGAATGTCAGAATATGTGGCAGATTTTATGCAAGATAGAATGCTAGAATCTGTGTCAGAACATATGTCAGATCAAATGCCACATTTTATGCCAGCTAGAATGCCACATTTTTTGCCAGATAGAATGTCAGAGTTCATGTCAGATAGAATGTCAGAGTTTATGTCGGATAGAATGCAAGAATACATGTGAGCTCGAATGTCAGTTCGTGGGGATCATTTGAAGAAATCACTTTTTGTCATTCTGATGGGTGGACACGACCAGAACACTACCAAATTTCGATGAGCTTTATCACCCATTAACAAAACCGGGAATGATCATGGATCTATCATGATGTTTGCCAAACCTACCACATTACTTTGCTGATCTTAAAACCGTAAGTTTAAAGCCGAAACACTTGGTTTTCGATCTGAAAACAATTGACAAACCCGAAGAAGATGCAGTACTTTTCTTGTAAACGTCTCCGATTTCTGGATGGATGGCCAACATGGGGGGTTTGGTCAAGTCTTTTTTTGCCTAGCTCAGTTTTCTATATGTTTTTTTGTACCACAAATTAGAGTATATAGTATAATATATATACACACCTGGAGCTTCAAAAGTACACTAATTTCTGCTCGAGCAAATTTCTGCTCGAGGAACCCAAATCTGCTCGTTTTACCAATTTCTGCTCGAGGTACAGCTAGATTTGAAAACAACCACTTTTCAAATGTGCGCTCGTTTGCGGGAAATTGCGCTCGATTGCGGGAAATTGCGCTCGTTGTGCGGCCTGTTTTTTTTGAATCAGAGACAGGCAGTGAAAACTCAAGAAGTGCTCGTTTGGCAAATTTCTGCTCGTGATGGAAAAATGCGCTCGATTTGCCCAAAACATATACGAACAAGAAAACAACCAGAAATTAATGCTCGTTTGAAGATCAAGGCATATTATATTGTTGATGTCGACCCCGGAGGCTAGTGCCGTTCCGGTTGACAATGTGCCATACAAAGCAATAGTGTTGATAGGGTGAACTTTACTGTGGATAAAGATCCCTAGTTTGCCACGCGCTGAGGGCTGGAACTTTTCTCGAATCTTTACGCTGATGTTCCTGGGACTTGAGGTGTGTACCGGGGGCAAGGATTTAGTTAGCCATAAATTATGAGTAGAATGATAAACCCATGGGATGGAGACAGGATGGGCACTTGAATCCTTGTATATTTACTGACAAAACCGTTTACGTTGTTTTTTGTTCTTTTAGGGTGTCTAAGACATCCAAGATTCATCATGCCAACTGGTCTACGAAACAATATTTGCAGGATGATCCCCATTTCTTTGGGGATTACTTGCCAGCAATGCTACAGTATAAATGTGGTATTCAACCAGTAAACATGCGCACGCATCACCCCCAACAGAAACGGGGATTGACCGCAAGCAGCGGGGGTTCACCCACCAAACACGGTATGCAACTGGTATACGACAAAGCAATGCTGAAGTTCCAAAAGGTTTAACATATATACGTATATATATATATATATAGTAGCATTTAGTGTGACAAACCAAAGCTGAAGTTCCAAAAGGTTTTACAAATACATATATATATATATATATATATCTATATACACATACATACATGAATAACGCATAGTAATATGACAAACCACACCTGAAGTTTCAAAAAGGTTAACAGATATATAACTTAACAGATATATCATAACACTTATATAGCAACATGACAAATCACAGCTGTAGTTCCAAAAGGTTTAATTAACAGATATATAATAACAATTTGTAGCTGGTGAGTATATAAGTGCAGTTAAAGTATGGCTAGAACGGGAATACATGACTGAACAAACATTCATTCACCCAGGTGGGTCCTTACTAAAAATGGTTCTTAGCCAGCTACCATCTACAGACCCGTAGATCAGATAGTAATTTGGATATGGCTACAAAACATGGGAATAATGGACCTTTAAAATAGATAATGTACGTGTGAAACTGATTGTGTATGATTATGTCCACCCCGACATCCTGAAAGTGGTTGGGCAGAGTTCCTATAGTGGATATAATACACCATGCGAACTTCCCATTGGAAGAAACAAAAACAATGTGTATGATGAACTCCATGTTCCACTATATCAATGAATCCACCAAGCATCATTTCTGGATAACGTGAGTTACCCTCCAGTAGTCGAATGTGGTTTGCCGGAACATCCCCCGGCAATCGTCGGATCTGCAGCTTGTCATGTTTGAATATCGCTGGGTATACTATATTACCATGTGATACCATTTGAGTATGGAGAAGTACAAGAAATATCCTTGTGGGACTGCTAAATAATGCTAAATAGCTGAACATCCCCGCTCAGTGGGAAATATTCGTTGCAATACCCCGTTTTTCATCGTCCCGTTTCCGGTGGACAATACAAGGAGTGGTCGCGAATCTTGGATAATTCCATAATGGCTTTACTATGCCAGCTCCACATGATTGTTGTATCAGTTTCATCTGCCAAAGAATCCACGTGATTCCTGGGTCTCTCTTCGGTGACGAGAAAAAAAGCCTGGGCACCCTGAAAGATCCTGGGAACCATCCCCAAACGATCAAAAGTCCTTGACCGCACAGTTGCAGGCAGGAGAAACAAGTCATTTGGAAATAGTTTCGATTGAACATTGGATTGTCATGCTATGCTGCTATCCTGGTATCATGCAATGCATTATCATGCATTATCATGCATTATCATCATTACCACCATCACCATCACCACCATCACCACCACCACCACCACCACCACCACCACCATCATCATCATCGTCATCGTCATCGTCATCGTCATCGTCATCGTCATCATCGTCATTGTCATCATCGTCATCATCGTCATCATCGTCATCATCGTCATCATCGTCATCATCGTCATCATCGTCATCATCGTCATCATCATCATCATAATCATCATCATCATCGTCATCATCATCATCATCATCATCATCATCATCATCATCATATTATTATATCATATTCATTTTATGAAAACATCGTCATGAAACAGATATGGGTGTGTCTGAAAATAGGTTATACCCCCAAATCATTCATTTTAGTAGGGTTTTCCCATTATAAACAATCCATGTGAGAGACCCCCGTTTATGGAAACCCGAGTATGTTTCTTGCAATCCTCCGGACGAACTCTGAGGCTTCTGATTGCGATTGCCATCACCATCATTCTGATGGTCGCAGCAAGTCTGTGCGTAGCTCGGTCTCAACCGAAAGAATGTGAAGAGCTCAGAGAGCGGTAGCATTCTAAGGAAACTTTCAACAGAGACAGTACAGGTATTCTAATGGTATAGAAAGTAGTCTTCCAACTCCCAATTCATGGCAGGGCCGTCAAACTAGCTTGAGGAAAGGTAATGCTTCATTTGAGTAGCGCGTTTTTTCTAGATGCAGAAAACAAGATCCACAGGGAACTCGACAAGACATTCTATGCCCTGGGTGAGGATACCATGCAGATGATGTAGGCTGTGTAGGCATTGGCGTAGGATCGTTTTAGCCTACACGGCGCAGGCTTTGCATAGATACTCGTTTTCCACAGTTAGAATTCACCCATTAAGATTAACAAAAAAACACATGCCACAAAATTACTTTACTTCGAGTGATCCCCACTGTGACAAATTATTTTGTCATAGTTTCTGACAACTCATCTGGAAGTATATATGTTTTCTGACATGCCCACTGAGATCTGGCAGTTGCGGTTCCCACTGAGATCTGGAGCTCGCAGTTGAGGCCCGGCAGTGCCCTGAGATCTGGCGCTCGCGGTTGAGGTCCGGCAGTGCCCACTGAGATCTGGCCTCGCGGTTGAGGTCCGGCGGGAGGAAGGAAGGAAGGAAGGAGGGAATTAATTATATAATTTAAAAAAATAGAGGCGCTCACCTGGCAGGCGGGGAACGGTGCAAAAGAGATCACGGTCGCGCAGGCAAAGCCTACACCGTGTAAGGACGCGGTGAAAAGCACAGGATACAAACACTACTCATCTAGTGGTTCCTTTACCCTTTTGTATTTGACAGATTATGATTGCTTTGAAAAATCACCATGTCTACTGTTGAGTAGGCACTTATCATTATCTATCAGTTTTTCAGACTAAGAGGGCCACGTAGCAAATGACAACAGGTCCCATACCTGAGCTGGAAGTTTGTATTTGCCATGATCCCCTCTAACATAACATACTGTAGATGTGGAGAAGCGACTCGACATGTAGAGCATTTAAAGCAAGGGAAACCCATGGGTTTTCCATTTTTTGTATCTTTACCCCAGGGTAAACGATCATGTTTCATGTTTCAACGGGCCACCTTCAGCCTTCCCGAGGCCATTCTATTGCATTTATTCGGTTCTACGCAAGGCGAAGAGAAGAAGCGGCAGACGGGTCGCTTCTCGATCTTTCTTCAGATGTCCGGAAGAAAATGGCAAATGTGACCCCAAATGTATGGCATTTGCCTGATACTTGTTTGATGCGTTCTATTTAGGACCTTGAATTTTGAAAAGGTTTTGTTGGTTTAAAACAATAGCTTGGGTTTTTGTGGAACTCCTGAATATCGAAATAGTTGGCTTTGTGACGCGCGGCGGCGCTTGTGTAGCATGTTCGTCATGTTTCATCCTCATTTTCACCATCCTGTTCAGAAGTTCATCAAGGTGGGGTGAAGTGGGGTGGGGTGTTCCTTTGCTTCAGTTCGCTCCCGTGCCTGCAATGTTGCTACGCAATATGAGATTCCGATTCACGTTTGCAAGAACTTGTTGCTAAACTATATTATGTTCCACTTCATATCAGCATGAATTGTGCGGCGGGTTGGGGTGGGGCGAGGGGACTAGCAACAACCCATTGCAGCGCGCACTCACTTGATGCCACGCTGCTTGAAGTTCAATTTCACTTGCGCGCTTATTTGATGCTGCAGTAGCACACTCATTTGATGCCATGCTGCTTGGAGTTCACTGGCGCTTGCACATTCATTCTTTGCCCCATGAGATATGTTTAAGTTACCCTATAGGTCAGGCAAGGTTATTTGGAGCAAAATAGGTAACTCTAAAAAAAATACATTTTTGAAGATAATTTTGGTCGATTTTTTTTTAACTATTAGTTAAAAACAAATTACCTTTGAAGGTAATTATTGAGAACCTTTTTCAAGGTATTTTTTAAGGGTTATGTTTTTTCACTTCGTTTTTACATATAGATTTATTTATTTTCTTTTGTTATATGGTATGTGTCTGATGTTCTCTTGGGGTTACTATATACGTGCTGCTGACATATGTGCATGGGTTTATTTCATGTATTTTGACAGGGTCTCATGTTTTTCCCTTGGCACTTGGATTGGATCAAATGATTTGATCATGGGTAGTGTTTGTGTCACTGACAAAATTTATGAAACAACAGCATGACAAAAATGAGGAAAAGTCAGAAAAGGCATGAAACAAGATTATGGCAATAATGAACCAGTCATACTTGGCAATGAAGCATTATCCAAGCATGCATTCTGTCTTTGAAAGCTCAGTGAGGGCATCCTCCAAAGTATCATTGATTTTTGGTCTTTCTTGTCTCTACCCAGTCGCTCCTGAACCACTTTGGTTTCTTTGATGTCATTCTGCACACTTGCCCAGCTCAGTTTAACAGGAGCATCAGAAATCGCTTTTGGCAATGCTGAGGATGAAGTAACCACAGCTGGTGTAGAGGAAGCACTGCTACCACTACCACAACCACCACTACCACCACAACTAGCTCCAGTGCCAAGCTGGCTCCAGGGCCTGCTCGACATGAATTGACTCATCTGCGAATAACTCATCCTTGGTGATGTTGGCTTGGCCACCATGCAAGACCATGGAACTGCCCTGCTTCTTCTCAATGGCTGTGGCTATTGTCCTGACATGATAGTAACCATCTTTCTGATAGACATCACCTCGTCTTTCTGCTCATTCAAAGCTTGCTGGTTTCCCTGGATTTTGTCCACAACCTAAGCCAACCCAGTAATCTGAGATTTGTTGCAAATCTCAGAGTTCTTCTTGAAAACTTCGAACACTGGATATTTCCAGGAGCAAACACAGACTCGCCTCTGGTGTTCAAGAGAATTCTTGGAGCCCTCTTCTTCATAGAGCTGCTGAAGATCTTCTGGCACCTGGCCACTTTTGATCATTCTGGCACATTTCCTTACCTTGGGGTAGCTTCGATGCTCATCATCAGCAACTGTTGCATCCTCCTCTTTAGGCTCCTCATCTTCTCCTTCTGCATGGTCATCAGGAACTGGCTCATCCCTGGTCTTCTTCCATCCTGCTGCCATCTCCTTGACAGTCTTCGCTTTGGCCTTGGCTTTCGCCTTCAGCTGCATCAGGTCTTGTCAGGATTTTCTTCATTGTGCTCTTGGCTTTTGCCTTTTGAGCTTTCATTGGCGAAGAAGTAACCCCAGGAGCTTTGCTGGCAGCAGCCTTGGCTTTACCTGCTGCCTTTGCCTTGACTTTAGATTATGCTTTCACCTAGGCTTTGGCCTTTGCCTTTGGTGCTGCAGTATCTAAGAATCTAAGTCAGCTCATGGGGCAGTTTCTTCTGGAGAAGCCTGTTCTACAGATTCTGGTGCTGGTTCAGGTGGAGGCAACATGCAAGCATAGCATCAGGTGGACAAGCAGGCCTCTTCATGAGGTTACCAACAGGGGCGACAAGTGACAAGTAACTTCAATCTTGAGCACCAGTGTGCTACACAGATGGTATATGCAATTGGGGATGTCTCAAGATAGGGGGCCCCAAGCCCTTGTTTTTTAGTGTGCAAAACAGAGCTTTGGGGCACTCCTATTTTGAGACATCCCTAAGTGTACACTTGACGTAAATTCCAGCCTTTCACCAAAAGTAACTCCATGAAGAACATGTTTTGCCCATGATGATGTCAGAAAAGCTTACAACATAAATACCAAAGACCTTGTGAATGTATCAATCAACAAATGTGATATCTATACTTCACAATGGATGTTGCATGGCTTTTTCATTTTCATTGAACAAAACTTAAAAAAGTAGAACTGGAGATGTCTCAAAACGTCTGAAAATTGGTTCCCGAAACCGAAGCCTAACATGTTCAAAAACTGGTTCCACAATGGTACCTAGGAAAATGAAAGGTGCTTTAAGCCATCTTAAGGTACCTTTCATTTTTTGGAAAAATAAAACATTAAAGAAATAGAAATGGAGATGTCTCAAAATGTCTAGAGCAATTATTTTATTGCAATTTCAGTATTGTACATATCTTGTTTGTTTTGTTATTTATGTGCTGCTCTTGTCCTATGATTATTTTGATGAAACTCTAAGACGTAATGTGCCTAAATATCACTGTCTATATATATATATATTTAAATATATATATATGTATGCATTAATACGCATGTATTCAGGTGGTGTGGTGTTATTAGTCATTAGTTGGCTTGGGGTTACAGTTTTGCAAACCACACCCATTGCATGCCAACCAACCCTATAAGGTACCTTGTAAAATGAAAGGTGCTTTAAGCCCCCCTTCAGGTCCTTTTTTTTGCAAAATAAAACAAAAAAATGGGAATGTCTCAAAAATGTCTAGTGCAAATATCTGATTATAGTTTCTGTATTGTACATGTGTTTTTTCTTTTCTTATTTATGTATGTTCACCTAATGCAATTGCTCTTGCCCTATGTTTTTTTGATGACACTTTAAGGCATAATGTGACATAATGTACCCACATACTAATGTGGAGGTATATGTGTATTCATGTGGTGTGGGGTTATTATTTGGCTTGGGGCTACTGTTTTCAAACAAAACCCATTGCATGCCAACCAACCCTATTAGGTACTTTGTAAAATAAAACGGTGCTTTAAGCCCCCCTAAGGTACCTTTTCATTTTTGGGAAAAATAAAACAAATAAACATATAGATGTCGCAAAATGTCTAAGGCAAATGTTTGATTACAATTTCAGTATTGTACATGTGTTTGTTGGTGTTTTTTTAATGTATGTTCACCTAATTTAGTTGCTCTTGTCCTAGGATTTTTTTGATGCAACTTCAAGACATCATGTACCCAAATACTGATGTGGAGGTATATATGTATATATGTGTGTATTCATTTGGTGTGGGGTTATAATTTGGTTTGGGGTTACTGCATTGCAAACCAAAACCATTGCATGACAACCAACCTATGTTTGGGGTTTCTATTTTGGAAACACACAGCATTCAATCAAACACAAACCATGGTTGGTACTACATGCTTATCTAAACACCAGGCAACAATAACCTTCGTTTTTTATTTGATTTT